CACAATACCTAAAGGAAATGAAAAATATTTTATTTTTATCATATATTTGGTGAAGAGATGAATAGTAATAAATAATATAACTTGATGACTTACTTTGTTGCGTATGGGAAAACGAATGTGTTGTTGTTGACGGGGTTTAGGGACTCCATCCTCCACCAAGGCTTGAAGTAAAAAAGCGCAGCCATAAAATATACATTTTCCTTGATTGCATTTTTACACAAAGAACTGTATAGATGGGCTAAAACAGCAGAACCCCAACTATACTTTCTAGTTTTTTCGAAGTCTCTAAGTAAATTTAAATACATAAAATTTACACTATTTCCCGTACTTTCGGGAAATAAAAAGGTTCTAAATAGTATCATTATATAAGTTCTAGCTTTTATCACCTTAGCTAGCTCAGAGGCATTTTCGTTCAATTCCAGAGTCGCATAATGATTTTTTAGCTCAGTTAGTAGTATACCCTGACCTCTCGCACCACCACCTTCAACCATATCCCTGCCCAACAATTCTTCACACAGAGAATTGGGTTGTTGAACCGACCCGTTAACCGTCTTACCATCGACAGGGAGACCCAATAACATGTACACGTCCTCTAGTGTGACGGTACATTCACCTATTGGTGGATGAAATGTATGGGTCTCTGGTCTCCACCTTTTCAACAATGCAAGTATGAACTTTGAATTAATTGTGCAGTTGGAGATCTTTATAACGTTTCTGAAACCTGCATAATCGAGATATGATACGATCAACGGGTCAGGATCAAGGTAGTTGTGTGACCGGATTCTGAGTCTTTTAGTATCCTAAGTTAATAATGTAAAAGGTGTAAGAGTAGGTAAGTAAGATGAACAAAGCATTACTAGAAGTATGAAAAATGTATAAGTATAAAAGAAACTTACAAATGCTGCAATGTTGTCCCTTGTGCCTCTGTGAGAATCGCCCATTGTGAAAAGAGTCATTGTTGAAAATGCTTGAGATTATGAAAGAGTTTGAAATTGTAAGAGATTATGAAAGAGTTTGTAGCAGAGAGTGAGACGATTGTGGATGCGAGAGAAGTATGTAATGCTTTGTATTTATAGGCAAAAAAATTTCATAGAGTAAGTGAGGTGGTAGGTGGGTGCATGCATGCATGATAAGTGTCACTCTTGCAGTGTAGGTGCAGGCTACGTGGCAGCCTTGGAGAAGACATCCCTGCATGTATGTAACACGATTGGACATGAAGGGAGGCGCCATTGGACTTGGCGAAAGAGTATAAAAATGAAAGGTATTGTCATCCCTGTTGGCGAATAAGAGGTGGCATGGGTTGCAGTGTAGGCGCGGGCTAGGTGACAGCCTTGGAGAAGGCATCTCTGAATGCATGTAACACTATTGGACGTGATGGGAGACGCCTTAGAGGTTGCAGTGTAGGTGTAGTGTAGGTGCAGACTAGGTGACAGCCTTGGAGAAGGCATCTCTGCATGCATGTAACACGATTGGACATGAAGGGAGGCGCCATTGGACTTGGCGAAAGAGTACAAAAATGAAAGGTGTCTCCATCCCTGTTGGCGAATAAGAGGTGGCATGGGTTGCAGTGTAGGTGCAGGCTAGGTGACAACCTGGGAGAAGGCATCTCTGCATGCATGTAACACAATTGGACATGAAGGGAGGCGCCATTGTACTTGGCGAAAGAGTACAAAAATGAAAGGTGTCGCCATCCCTGTTGACGAATAAGAGATGGCATGGGTTGCAGTGTAGGCGCAGGCTAGGTGACAGCCTTGGAGAAGGCATCTCTGAATGCATGTAACATTATTGGACGTGATGGGAGGTGTCTTAGAGGTTGCAGTGTAGGTGTAATGTAGACGCAGACTAGGTGACATCCTTAGAGAAGGCATCTCTACATGCATGTTGATTAATTCAAATTAAGTACAACCTATTTAATCTTACATTTATCAAAACAGTCATACACTTAATCTCTCGAACACTAGAACATTCAAAAATTCTAGCAATTAACTCATAAACTTCAAACCTTCGAACCTTCAAACCTTCAAACAGTCATACACAATAGCCTCTGCATCCTAATATGTGATCAGTGCAAGAATGTGAGTGGAGGCGTCAAGTGAGATGGCTTCTCCCTTGAGAAATTTTCTAAAACATAGCTGTTTGCGTAATTTTTTCCGAAACATGATTATTTGCGGAAAAAAAAATTTAATACATAGTAATTCCAAAAAAAAGTTCTTCTTTTTTGGACAAAGAGTATTTCTAGTATTAAGAAAATATGGGGTGCTAAATTTAATATTGGGATGGAAAGTTAAATTTTTCAATAATTATAGGTGTTTCACATTATTTGGGCTTTCAAATATTTTTTTGGATAACTTATTTAAAATTGGCAATTTCTCTTTTCATCTTTGATATAAACGCGCACATTCTTGAAAATCTGAAAATATTTCCGAATGAATTTGAATATGTATATTGATGTATATAGCTATAAATTTATGGTATAAAGTCATACAATTAATCAAGTTTAATAATAATAATAATAATAATAATAATAATAATAATAATAATAATAATAATAATAATAATAATAATAATAATAATAATAAATAATAATAATTATTATTATTATTATAATAACAGTGAAATACAATTGATTTTTAAATGTCTATTATTAATATATATATATATTAATAATAGACATTTAAAAATCAATTGTATTTCACTGTTATTATAATAATAATAATAATAATTATTATTTATTATTATTATTATTATTATTATTATTATTATTATTATTATTATTATTATTATTATTAAACTTGATTAATTGTATGACTTTATACCATAAATTATATATATATATATATATATATATATATATATATATATATATATATATATATATATATATATATATATATATATATATATATATATATATATATATATATATATATAGCTTATAAGATTATAATGTATGCTTAATTTATTATTTAAAATTAATATTTTTATCACAAATTTAATATTTTTTTATATAATTTAAATTGATTTTTTTTACAATTTGATTAATAAAATAAAACTTTAATTTTTAATTAAACCTTTTTTAAGTTTTTATTATTGACTTGATAAATATTTGTTGAATTTAATTGAAAATATATTTAATTTAAAAGATATTATAATATAATTAAAGTGAATTACTATTAATATAAATTTATAATATGAAATATAGTAATAAATGCAACAATTATTATTATTATTATTATTATTATTATTTATTATAATTTTAAGAAATACATTTCGGACTTCGGAAGTAAAATGAGTAAAAAATTACTTTAAAATTTTGATTCTGGACTCATATATTGAACGTTGATGTGCAGGCTTGGGCCTTCAAGATAGCGTTTAATTCCAGCTTATTTGATTTCATACTCTCCAGTTTACATATGTACTCTCAAAACATTTGAACTTGTCAAAATATCCTTGATTTTAAAAAACTAAACATTTTCTCATCACAAAACACATAGCCCATTAAAATAAAAAATTGAAAATATTTGTGCAAATTCATAGAGATTTATATTTTTAATAAATATAATTTAAATATTTTTATCAAATATAAATTTTTAATAATATAATTTAAATAATCAAGTAGTTTAGACTTCAGTGATAAATAAACTTCTGCTAAAAATATAATTCAGAAAATATTGAATTCAATTTAAATGTTCATATCTCTCGGTACGAATTTTGTCGGAAGAGATGAATATAATTTTCTTTAATAAAATATAAAATATTCATATTATTTTCAAATACTATTTTGTAACACTATACAATACTTATCTAAAAATATATTATAAAATGTTAAACGTAAAAGTATTTAATAGTGGTCATTTAGAATTTTTTTTTTTTTATAATGCTTTCTCGGAGGAAAAAGTAAAACAAATTACATTACAAGAAAATTGATATATATATATATATATATATATATATATATATATATATATATATATATATATATATATATATATATATATATATATATATATATATATATATATATATATATATATATATATATATATATATATATATATATTGACAAATAAAATCTGTCATTATATATCGATTTTCATAGATAAAAGTAATTCATATTAATCATGGGTATGTTAGCCGTGCTATACTGTACAACGGATTTTTCTGTGTCAGTTAATGTTTTAGAAATTGCCAAACACTTTTAGCTACAACACTTGACCGTAAGTAAAGATGAGAAAAAATTCTACAAAATCTAACCATTTTTTTTTAATAATTCTCTCAATCATAAATAATATTTAAAATATTTAATAGCATCACAAAATTCACAATTTAAAATATTTAATAGTATCATAAAATTGACAATTTAAAATATTTAATAACATCACAAAATTGACAACATGCATTACAGCATGCATGTTCTATAGTTTTTTGAAATAAAATGAAAAATTATTATCATATAAAAGTACTTATCATTACTCATTTAAATGAAATAAATCTAAAAAATAATGTATTTAGCATATGAGCTCTTATTCATTAGAAAGTAAACATAATAGGAGAGAACAACCATGCAACAAATCAATTCTGCAACGTGGCTATACTTTCAACTTTCCTTCAATATTAACCAGAAATATCTGAAACACAAGATAAAATTTCATCAAAATTTGTGTCATCTTTTTGTCAAATAAAATTGTACTAATTATAATAAAGTATACACATTTTATAACTGGCGAATTCGAAGGAATCATACCTCGGACATCACGGCCCATAGAATTACTCTCATTCTTATTAAAAATGATCTTATATAGACCCAATATCATAGAAAGCGTAAATGTCACATGGAGAATGAGTTCATATTTCGAAAAATGAGATTCTTAAAAAGATAAAAGCATCCACAAAGAAATGGTAGTAGTCATACGAGTATACTGTTACAACAAGTGTTAGGACATACTACTTGTATATCTTGGTCTGCTCATTGCTCCTACATAAAAGAACATCAACAAAAACTAAAAACTCACCTTCCAAGTTTCATTAGTAGCCTGAGAATTAATTTTAGATGAAACACTACAAACAGAACCATCCATAAATCTAAGAGAATAAATTGCAATGACCTTAAGATGAGAATCAACAACCCTACCTATAACGCATCCACCATGATAATTCCATATAGTACTAATCATCCTACAAAATTCAGTCATATTCAACATAATTTGTTTGGTCATTAGCAAAGTAGGTCCAATAAACCTAAAATCTTTAACCCCTAACCAATTTCTAAACTTGAAATCATTCATAGCTCTACTCATAAGAACATTCCCTAATGTGGCTATGCTTCCAACCTGTCTTTCAATATTAGCCGAAAATATCTGCAACACAAGATAATATTTCATCAAAATTTGTGCCATCTTTTTGTCAAGTAAAATTGTACTGATTATAATAAAACATATACGTTTTATAAGTGACGAATTTGAAGGAATCGTACCTCGGACATCACGACCCATAAAATTGCTCTCATTCTTATTAAAAATGATCTTATATAGACCTAGTATCGTAGAAATCGTAAATGTCACATGTAAAATGAGTTCATATTTCGAAGAATGAGATTCTTATAAAGATAAAAGGGTCAACAAAGAAATGGTAGTAGTCATACGATTATACTGTTACAGCAAGTGTTGGGACAAACTACTTGTATATCATAGTCTGCTCATTGCTCCTACATAGAAGAACATCAACAAACACTAAAAACTCACCTTCCAAGCTTCATTAGTAGCCTGAGAATTAGTTTTAGATGAAACACTACAAATATAACCATCCATAAATCTAAGAGAATAAATTCCAATGACCTTAAGATGAGAATCAACAACCCTACCTACAACGCATCCACCATGATAATGCCATATAGTACTAATAATCCTACAAAATTCAGTCGTATTCAACATCATTTGTTTGATCATTAGCAAAGCAGGTCTAATAAACCTAAAATATTTAACCCTAACCAATTCCTAAACTTGAAATCATTCACAGCTCTACTCCTAAGACATTCCCCAATGTGCCTTTGCTTCCAACTTGTCCTTCAATATTAATCAGAAATATCTACAACACAAGATAATATTTTATTAAAATATGTGCCATCTTTTTGTCAAGTAAAATTGTACTGATTATAATAAAGCATACACATTTTATAACTGACAAATTCGAAGGAACTGTACCTCGGACATCACGACCCATAGAATTGCTCCCATTACTATTGAAAATTATCTTATATAGATAGACCTAGTATCATAGAAACCTAAATGTCACATGGAGAATGAGTTCATATTTCAAAGGATGAGATTCTTTAAAATATAAAAGCATCAACAAAGAAATGGTAGTAGTCATGCGAGTATACATTTACATCTAGTGTTGGGACAAACTACTTGTATATATTGGTCTGCTCATTGCTCCTACATAGAAGAACATCAACAAAAACTAAAAACTCACCTTCCAAGCTTCATTAGTAGCTTAAGAATTAGTTTTAGGTGAAACACTACAAACATAACCATCCATAAATCTAAGATAATAAATTCCAATGACCTTAAGATGAAAACCAACAACCCTACCTACAACGCGTCCACCATGATAATTCCATATAGTAATAACTATCCTACAAAATTCAGTCATATTCAGCATAATTTGTTTGATCATTAGCAAAGCAGGTCCAATAAACCTAAAATCTTTAACCCCTAACCAATTCCTAAACTTGAAATCATTCATAGCTCTACTCCTAAGAACATTCCCTAATTTTAAAGTTCCATTAACACATCTCTAAACATCAATAACATTTTTAAAGTAATTAAACCTAACATGACTTGAAGCCAATCAGAGAAAACCAATTGAAACCGTTCCTGAAATCTTCAAAATCGGCATCGTGATGGTTAAGTAAAGCAGAGAAACAGGCGGACAGATAAAAAACATTTGTTGTGCTGTAGAAAATGGAACAACACTAGAAGAAAATTAAATGTAAGCACCTGAGTTTATGATGCCTACAACCTCTAAAACTTGATAATAAAATTATCCCGACAAAATATAATGCATTCGAAAAATCCAGAAAATAAAGAAAAACAAAATAGTTATAGTAAATCAATGGTAACGATGAAGAGAAATTAAGTTGTTCTTCTTCCAGGTTCCCTTGCGGGATGGACGGTTTGTTGTCTTCCCTTAAACAATACCTTTGGGAACAATCCTCTTCTTCCACCTTTATGGACGCAGACACGATAAAAAACATAGCCCTGGAGTAATATAACAAAAATTCAGCAACACAATTATGATCAAAAATCATATTCGACAAATTTCCCAGTTCTACAATTAAGTAATAATGACAGACCCAAAGATACTGCATAAACTTCAATAAAATTGTAAGATTACAAAATAATAATAAAGAATATGTCTATAGACAAAAGAAAACAAGAATTCTAAATATAAAATATATAAAATACTAATGATTATATAAGTAACTAACAATTTATGAGCTGAAATTAAAATCATTCACCAAAAAACTAACAGTTGTTACTTTGTCAAATGCGACAACCATAGTAAATTGTTTATTAAGGCTTCCTTATCATTATATGGTGAGTAATTCATAGTATTTTCTCTTTTTTCTTGTACCTATAGTGTATATTTTAAGACAAGTGAAATTACTCAGAAGTGATAGCCCGACCATGATTCCAGTTTTGTAAATAATTAATGGCCATCCAATTGCTATGAAGGCAAAAACACGAGCTAAACTTTTCTTCACACTCTTTATTTCATTTGGTCTAAACTTTGTCAAATAGAAGTGGACAACCAATCTAAAATAAATTAGGAAGCATAATGAATATGTATAAACTAAAATACTAATTATCAAAATAGTTGAAAGCATGGCTGCTCAAGTTAATGAAATAGTACTTACGAATTGTATAATCTCATTTCAAAGTAAAGTTGATTGTACCAATGAACTATACATACACCCAACATCAAAGTGGACTATATCCATCATTATTGCTTTCCTCAAAAGTGGATTTGACCCAAACTCATTTTTCCAAACAGGATGCGAAGCAGTATCTTATTTAAATCTGTATTATTAGAGATGACTTACAATTGAAAGTAATGAAACAGAAAAGCTGCAACTTTAGCCCATACACGCATGTTAACATTACATATCTTATACAATGCTTTTGAGTTATGCTTACTGTATGTGATCTGAATTTTACATTTTTAGCACTAAGTATTGACAGGACACTTATGCCAAATGCACGTGTTGAGCCGATATAATGAAATGATGAAACCACAATTTAAACCATATTCATAGGAATAAATTAGCTATCATTCTAATGAAAATGAATTAGGGAGACTCACAACTATGATGTGCTAGTCATAAAAGTATTGTTTCCTAAGACTTCCATGCCTTGAAATTTGGGTTCAAATTCGTCTATACATATGCATCAAAAGCATTATACTTATGGGACAAAAACACATCTCACTACTAGAAATGATAGTATTAATTCAAAGACTAAGGGCCATAGAAATGAAGCAAATAAGTGGAATACCAAAATAGTAGTATACAATATAGTTCATATGAGATTCACTATCCATCTCTCAGCCTCCTCATAGTTCACATTTAACTTCTCTGTAAAAACTTTGTTTCAAAGAAATATTAGTAATTGAGCATACTAGAGTTGGAAATACTTACATTTTGTATAAAATACTAAAGGAAACTAAACAAAAAGCATAAAATAATTAACAACGTTACATACTATAAGTAAAATGACAACAAATTTCAATTGTTAGTTGATATTATAATTTTGAATCAACTCCAGTGATGAGGCTATTTTAACTTTTTTTTATTCAAAAGTAAAATGATTGAACAAAGAGTTATAAGATCGATAACTTACCAGTAGTTCCTCAAGAAAACAAAAGTATGCAAGTGTTCTAACCAAGACAAGTAACGGTACATTCTGGCAGATCATGTAAATTACGTTATAATTATAATCATAGTAGAGGTATAACAAGTACCAATACTAAAAGAAAAAGGAACATTTAAGGAACATTTACATCACTTCAATGGTTGACCTTTATTAGCTAGACAACAGTAAGAAAACTTACTTTTTCACACTCCCTGATCTTCTACTGTGCGCCATCAAAGTCATAGTTGACATAAACACAAGCTAAAAACTCAGTGATTGGGGTCTTCGTGTGAATTATGCTCTTATTGAATAACTTTTATAAAACCTTTGAATTGAGGCCATAACAGATAATATCAATATAATAGGTTTACCAATGGAAAATAATAACATGGGTTTACTATAGACCAATTCAAGAAAATGGGTACCTTTCAATTTAATGGACTTCATTAAAAATCCTAAAATTGAGGCCTTAAAAGTGCAGTGCCCAAGACCAGCACATGTGGCACAGATGTAGCACCCTGTTTGCTGCCAAATTCATAAAATTGGCAGTTGGACTCTCGTGCTCATCGCCCAAGTCCAACACCTATGGCACAGATGTAGCACGCTGTCTGCTATCAAAATTCATGTAATGAGTACTCAAACTCTCATATCCTACACCTGACATTTGCAGAATTTTGTATGAACACAATTTTTCATGTTTCAAGGTTTAAAAGCCCCAAAATAACCTGAACAAATCAGGTCACATCAAATTAGGTCATATAAACATTTAACGAGACCATAGCTGACCTAATTTACCACCACAAAATAAAAGTATTAAAAATCATGATTGCATTGATATCAATAATATCCATACCTAGTTATAAAAATTATTTTTTCATTGATTTAACCTAAACAACATATTTGATGTTCTACCTCAGTGATAAGTGCAAATTATAGTTATTTTTGTATATACTTTTTGTTGCACTTATCGACTATTGGTTGTTAATATCAGTTGAATAACCCAACTTTGTGTATAAATATATTTAGTTTGTGTATAATGCATTTTCGTGTATAAAGTGTATCATTTGATAGTTTTGTATTCATTTTGTAGGTATTTGAGCATTGTTAGAGAAAGAGGAATAAAGCTCCAAGATGCATTTTTTATCAATAAAGGAATAAGGCCAAGATTGCAGGCCAAGTGAAGTTATGCAGGAAAGCAACAAAAGTTGTTGAACTGTTATGGATCGTCGGGAGAAATTCTTGTCGTCGGACAACAGTGGGCGAGAAAACTAATTTTGATGTTGCCTCTGCCTTACTTCGCGTCTAGGTCGCCAGGCGAAAATAAAGAGAGTCGTCGGACGAAGCAGTGTGTCTCTGGGAGACGTTAGATATTTTTTTTCAGTTGAGGACATGGCAAAACTTGGGCCAAGTGTATAGAAGTCGTCGCTGAGAGACGTGTTTGTGTTGTCGGGTGACTGTTGCAGATCAAAAATTCTTTATACTTTCATTTCTTGTCATTTTGGAGGGTGATGGTTTTGGGGGTGATTTTTGTTCTCCCAATTCCATCAACCTCATTTTTGTAGTGAATTAGCTTAGATAGTAACACTAGGGCTTTGCTTATGGATGATTGGAAGTGGATTTCTCATTGTATGGAGCCGACAAATTGGAAGATTTATGGTCTATCTTTTCTCCTCTCTATGTATTTATCTTTTGTTGGGTTTTGTATGTATTTTAATTTGAACTTATGTATATTTGTCGCCCATGGCGTTATATTAAACTTGCTTTACAAATCTTTGTTGATTGTTGTCCTAGATTTTTGCTCTGTGCTAGGGATTTGAGTTGTTATAGACATATACTGCTTAGATTCTTATCTAGGATGATTATCTGTTAGTTTATGAACTCTAGATATAGGTTTAGAGCTGACATCTACTTAGGTATCAGAGCTTAATGCCTCTGTGCGGTTGTGTTGTGTTGAGAGGTCGTCAGTGCGATTACATAGTTGTCTTCTGTGTTGTTGAGGAGGTAGAGAGATCATTTCCTTGGTGATACATTCAGTCTCTCAATTTGGGTTAGAAATAACTTAGGTTGTGAGTGATACATAGTGGCATTGATGAGTATTATTAGGTTGAATGTAACTGATCAATGGATTTAAGTCTGTGATGAGTAGATTATATGCAGGCTTGATAAGTTCTTCTTTAGTTTTTTCTTTTGTTTACATTTATTTTCTGTTGATGCTTTTCTTTTCAACCCATTTATCCTCAAACTCAATAACGAATGATTTGTCGAACGACAATTCAATAACCAATCTATATGGACACGATACGATATAACCTAAATATCACCCGGTAAATTAATAACTAACTTTTCACTTACCATTATATACTGCAACAACACTCAGTCATCTTAAGAACGAAGCCGTCAATACATATGCATAATATAAGAAACTAATACCATGAGTTTTGATGTATATAAACACACAAGATCTGAGATAGTAGCGTCATCTATTTGCAATTTTTCTCATAGTTATATAAAAAATGTCATAAAATTCAATAATATCAATGATGATCAGGACCCTAAGAACTACTAAGAAGGAAATATAAAAATATTAAACCTAATACCTAAATAAAACTAAACAACCAAAATACCGCAAACACACCTGTAAGACTTCTTCTAAAGGTTATAGGTCTGGCAACAGAAAGTTAAATGAAATTGTAGTGATGTGATGGAGCCTTGCAATGTTTAATTTCATATAGTGGTAGGCGGGAGGGGAACTCTATGATCAATGGTGTTTATAAATTGAACTTTGTTTATACTAATTAATTCTTAACTAGATATAATGATGATATTATGCGGATGTTAACCATTTCAATTGAAAGATTTCATAAGATGCAAAAAGAAGCCACTCTTGAATACCAAAGCTACCCTGTTCAAGTAACAATATACTAATATGCTAAAAAATGCAAGATACTTGTTCAACTATCGAAATACTAATCTGTACAAATGTGAAACTAAATAAATTCAAATATCAATGTACTTGAAATAAGATACAAAATGGTGCAATGTTCAAATAAACAAATAAAATGAACATTCCAATTAATTAAAAATTATAAAAATGAAATTTTTTTAAAAAAATCGGATTAATGTATCTGTTTTGAGATCAATACGGTGTGGTGCAATGGATTCAGATCTACAAAGGAAAATGAATTTTAAAATTAGAAAATAATTTTAAAAAAAAAGATTTTTTTTAAACCATTTTGAAAATGAAGTATAGATATACAGATGAAATTGAATTGTTAAGAGTGAAAATCTTCTAAGACATATTATGCACTTCGATATAAGCAAATATGATTTTGAGGTTTGAGTGATTCTAGAACAATTGATGTTGAAACGATTGAGATTCGAACGATTGAGATTCGAACAATTGAGATTCGAACGGTTGATACTAAAACATTTCATATTCAACTAATTGATGTTGAACTGTTGAAACGATTGGGATTTTTCTGATGAGATTTTCAACGATTTTAGGGTTTTCATTGAAGGGACTTTGAACGATTTTAGGGATTCGGTGAAGAGATTTTGAATGAATTTAGAGATTTCAGTGAAGAGATTTTGAACGATTTTAGGAATTCAGTGAAGAGATTTTAAACGATTTTACGGATTCAGTGAAGATATTTTGAACGATTTTAGGGATTTCAGTGAAAAGATTTTGAACGATTTTAGGAATTCAGTGAAGAGATTTTAAACAATTTTAGGGATTTCAATGAAGAGACTTTGAACGATTTTAGAGATTCAGTGAAGAGATTTTGAACGATCTTAAGGATTCAATGAGAAAAATATTCTTAAGAGAGAGAACTCTGAGTTTTATTTAATAAAGTTACGAGTTATTTTTTACTTGTAAAATAAAAAATATAATAAAAAATAATTATAATATTATAATATATAAAATTAAATTTTAACTCTACTGATGGTTAGGAAGTGTCGGTAGATAAAACTATTTTAAATGACCATGGGTATTGGACATTTTTTCTTGCAGTGAATTAAAATAAAATAATATAAATATTCTTCTTTTTAAATTCTAATACATAACAGTAATTTAATCATTCTTCTTTAATTTTTCAGTTTCTTCGTCTTCCAAAATCTGAGTTCTTTTTCTTTTGACAAAAAAACTTAGGACGAGTAATAACTTTCTAGCAAGTTTCTTATAAATAATCTTATACTTATCTCACTCAAAATTCGTACGGATGTCTCTGACAAATTCCCACTCGATTTTACTCTAGTATAAGAATAGCTGACTTAATTAAACTACGATTCTATCATAATCTAAGTTTAAGTGTTTAAAAACTCGAATGTGAGAATAATTTAAAAACATAAAGATAAAGATATCTGACAAGTGAACATGAGGGAGCCATCAAATATGGTACTTTGACAAGTTATTTCAAGGTTCATGACACTCTAGCCATCATAAACATTTTGGTAACATACTACATTTGGTAATCTATTCCCTACTTATAATGACTTACTTGTCTAATCATCAACGGATAATCACTTAGCTATAATAGGCCCTATTATTCACACTTAGTAATAGTAACATTATAGTGATGCATGCTTTATATTCTAGAAGAAACATATAGGAATGTAATATATCATTATCTTGAGCGTTAGCATGATAACATGAGTCATATTCATGGCAACTGCATGATTTATGGATATCATCTCTATATACACCAACAAAGTAACAACTCGACAAGGTTCTATGTCTTTAAAAACCTATTATGAATTATTGTAACATCTAACATGCCATACGTGTTCTAGATAAGTATAGAGCTAAACATGATCTATAATGCTTCAACATATATCTTAGATTAGACTTTGCATTAGTATTTTGTTGGATACAATAAATAACTTAACCATGTTACAAAATTCCATTTATTACTAGACAAGCCTCAAATTTGATCAATTAATTAAAATATCAAACGATATTCGATTCGAGTAAACTAAATTTGCCTAAAAATCTTACTAATCTTATATTAAGAGTATGGTTTTTGTTTTAGCGTGTAAATTTCCAATTGGTTCAATTTAACTAAATAATCTAAATAATATGAATAGGTACAAAGGTAGGGCCAAAAGATTTATCTAACTTGTGACTAAGATTAATTTTTGTCTAATCAAAGAAACTTGAAATTTTAAGGGTTTAATATGTATATGTGGGGTCTAATCATTGTCACATAGTCAACATAGATTTGACAAAATAAAAAGTGGCATGTGATGACAAGTAATAAGGTGTATGATGTACACATGGTGTAATTTATGGGTAACACTTGTTATGGTGCATGTTTTACAATGAACACTTACTGCTCTGAATGGAAGTTAAAAGACAAGTATCTTCGTGCATGTAAGACACCTTTGGATTGCTTCTAGTATAAATAGGACCATGAGCAAGCATTTAAAACACAATCACAAGATAAAAGCAACAAGAATCAAGAGAGAGAATGGCCATGTCGCATGGCGCATGGCCATTGGTTCTTATTTTTGGGCTTATATATGCGGGTCCATAAAAATAGGTAACGAATAGGACTTGGTCATACCAGACAGGTGTGTCCGCAACTAGTCATTAGTTTCAAGGGGGAGGTAGGTTACAGGAAATAATCTGGTCGGTTCTTGGTTGTCTGACCGACTGGAGGTCGGGCAGACTGAGAGGCACTCATCTATCATCATAGTTCAGTGCCGGTCTAGGGGGGAAAATGAATGATGGTGCCCGATGGAGGCCGGGAAAATCCGGGCCTTGGTCGTATGGACCGTATCGAAGAAAGAGGATAGACTAGGCCCACTCTGGATGTCGGGCCAGTCCAGAACAGTACCTCCCAAGTCAGTATCAAAAGATATCTTAACAGATTTGAGCAATCTCATAAGATCTCATACAATGTAAGGAGTTAAGATAAATTAGTATGTATTAATAGCTGCAATGTAATAAGTTAAACTATCAAAGGTATCTTTACATGATGGAGCAATCTCATAATATCTCAAACAATAAAAGGAGTTAAGATATATCAGTATGTCTTAACAGGATGCAATGTAACAAGTTAAGCTATCAAAGGATGGCTTAACCGGATTGAGAAATCTTAAAATATCTTACAAAATACAAGGAGTTAAGCTATATAAGTTCGTCTTGACAACTGTAATGTAACAAGTTAAGCTAATAAATGATGACTAAACAAGATTGAGCAATCTTAGAATATCTCACACAATTCAAGGAGTTAAGCTATATCAGTATGTCTTAACAAGATTCCATGTAACAAGTTGGCTATCAAAGGATGTCTTAAAAGGATTGTGCAATCTTAGAAATATCTCAGACAATTCAAAGAGTTAAGCTATATCAGTATATATTAATAGCTGCAATGCAATAAGTTAAGCTATCAAAAGATGTCTTAACATGATTGAGAAATCATAGTATATCTTAGAAAATGTAAAGAGTTAAGATATATAAGTATGTCTTAACAATTGTAATGTAACGAGTAAGCTATCAAAGTATGTCTTAACAGAGTTGAGAAATCTCAGAGTATCTCAAAAATGCAAGGAGTTAAGCTATATTAGTAAGTCTTAACATATGCAATGTAACAAGTTAAGCTATCAAAGAATGTCTTAACAGAGATGAGCAATCTTAGAATATCTTACACAATGCAAGGGGTTAAGCTATCTCAGTATGTCTTAACAACTACAATGTAACAAATTAAGCTATAAAAGGATATCTTAACAGATTTGAGAAATCTCATAAGATCTCATACAATGTAAGGAGTTAAGATAAATCAGTATGTATTAATAGCTGTAATGTAATAAGTTAAGCTATCAAAGGTATCTTTACATGATGGAGCAATCTCATAATATCTCAAACAATAAAAGGAGTTAAGATATATCGGAATTGTACCTCGTACATCATGATCCATAGAATTGCTCCATTCCTATTGAAAATTATCTTATATAGACCTAGTATCATAGAAATCCTAAATGTCACATGGAGAATGAGTTCATATTTCAAAGAATGAGATTCTTTAAAACATAAAAGCATCAACAAAGAAATGGTAGTAGTCATACGAGTATACAGTTACAGCTAGTGTTGGGACAAACTACTTGTATATCTTGGTATGCTCATTACTCCTACATAGAAGAACATCAACAAAAACTAAAAACTCACCTTCAAAGCTTCATTAGTAGCTTGAGAATTAGTTTTAGGTGAAACACTACAAACATAACCATCCATAAATCTAAGATAATAAATTTCAATGACCTTAAGATGAAAATCAACAACCCTACCTACAACGCATCCACCATGATAATTCCATATAGTAATAACTATACTACAAAATTCAGTCATATTCAACATAATTTGTTTGATCATTAGCAAAGCAGGTCCAATAAACCTAAAATCTTTAACCCTTAACCAATTCCTAAACTTGAAATCATTCATAGCTCTACTCCTAAGAACATTACCTAATTTTAAAGTTCTATTAACACATCTCTCAACATCAACAACATTTTTAAAGCAATTAAACCTAACATGACTTGAAGCCAATCAGAGAAAACCAACTGAAACCGTTTCTGAAATCTTCAAAATTAGCATCGCGATGGTTAAGTAAAGCGGAGAAACAGGCGGACAAATAAATTTTTTTTTATTGTGATGTAGAAAATGGAACAACACTAGAAGAAAATTCATTGTAAGCACCTGAGTTTATGATGCCTACAATCTCTAAAACTTGATAACAAAATTATCCCGACAAAATATAATGTGTTCAAAAAATCCAGAAAATGAAGAAAAACAAAATAGTTATAGTAAATCAATGGTAACGATGAAGAGAAATTGAGTTGTTCTTCTTCCAGGTTCCCTTGCGGGGTGGACGATTTATTGGCTTCCCTTAAATAATACCTTTAGGAACAATCCTCTTCTGCCACCTTTATAGACACGGACACGATAGACAACATAGCCCTGGAGTAATATAACAAAAATTCAGCAACACAATTATGATCATCATATTCGACAAATTTCCCAGTTCTACAATTAAGTAATAATGACAGACCCAAAGATACTGCATAAACTTCAATAAAAGTGTAAGATTACAAAATAATAAAGAATATGTCTACAGACAAAAACAAACAAGAATTCTAAATATGAAATATATAAAATACTAATGATTATATAAGTAACTAACCATTTATGAGCTGAAATTAAAATCATTCACCAAAAAACCAACAGTTGTTACTTTGTCAAATGTGATAACCATAGAACATTGTTTATTAAGGCTTACTTATCATTATATGGTGAGTAATTCATAGTATTGTCTCTTTTTTCTTGTACCTATAGTGTATATTTTAAGACAAGAGAAATTACTCAGAAGTGATAGCCCAACCATGATTCCAGATTTGTAAATAATTAATGGCCATCCAATTGCTATGAAGGCAAAAACACGAGCTAAAATTTTCTTCACACTCTTTATTTCATTTGGTCTTAACTTTGTAAAATTGAAGTGGACAACCAATCTAAAATAAATTAGGAAGCATAATGAATATGTATAAACTAAAATATTAATTATCAAAATAGTCGAAAGCATGGCTGCTCAAGTTAATGAAATAGTACTTACGAATTGTATAATCACATTTCAAAGCAAAGTTGATTATACCAATGAACTATACATACATCCAACATCAAAGTGGACTATATCCATTATTATTGCTTTCCACAAAAGTGGATTTGACCCAAACTCATTTTTCCAAACAGGATGCGAAGCAGTATCTTATTTAAATTTGTACTATGAGATATGACTTACAATTGAAAGTAATGAAACAGAAAAGCTGCAACTTTAGCCCATACACACATGTTAACATTACATATCTTATACAATGCTTTTGAGTTATGCTTATTGTATGTGATCTGAATTTTACATTTTTAGCACTAAGTATTGACAGGACACTTATGCCAAATACACGTGTTGAGCCGATATAATGACATGATAAAACCACAATTTAAACCATATTCATAGGAGTAAATTAGCTATCATTCTAATAAAAATGGATTAGGGAGACTCACAACTATGATGTTCTAGTAATAAAAGTATTTTTTCCTAAGACTTCCATGCCTTAAAATTTGGGTTCAAATTCGTCTATACATATGCATCAAAAGTATTATAACTTATGGGACAAAAACACATCTTACTACTACAAATGATAGTATTAATTCAAAGACTAAGGGCCATAGAAATGAAGCGAATAAGTGGAATACCAAAATAGTAGTATACAATATAGTTCAGATGAGATTCATTATCCATCTCTCAGCCTCCTCATAGTTCACATTTAACTTCTCCGTAAAAACTTTGTTTTAAAGAAATATTAGTAATTGAACATACTACAGTTGGAAATACTTACATTTTGTATAAAATACTAAAGGAAACTAAACAAAAAGCATAAAGTAATTAACAACGTTACATACTATAAGTAAAATGACAACAAATTTCAATTGTCAGTTGATATTATAATTTTGAATCAACTCCAATAATGAGGCTATTTTAACCTTTTTTTTATTCAAAAGTAAAATGAGCGAACAAAGCGTTCTAAGATCGATAGCTTACCAATAGTTCCTCAAGATAACAAAAGTATGCAAGTGTTCTAACCAAGACAAGTAACAGTACATTCTGCCAGATCATGTAAATTACGTTATAATTATAATCATAGTATAGGTATAACAAGCACCAATACTAAAAGAAAAAAGGAAAATTTAAGGAACATTTACATCACTTCAATGGTTGACCTTTATTAGCTAGACAACAGTAAGAAAAGTTGCTTTTTTCACACTCCTTGATCTTCTCTTGTGCACCATAAAAGTCATAGTTGACATAACACAAGCTATAAACTCAGTGATTGGGGTCTTCGTATGAATTATGCTCTTGTTGAATAACTTTTATAAAACCTTTGAATTGAGGCCCTAACAGATAATATCAATACAATAGGTTTACCAATGGAAAATAATAACATGGGTTTACTATAAACCAATTCAAGAAAATGGGTACCTTTCAATTTAATGGGCTTCATTAAAAATCCTAAAATTGAGGCATTAAAAGTGCAGTGCCCAGGACCAGCACATGTGGCACAGATGTAGCACCCTGTTTGCTGCCAAATTCATAAAATTGGCAGTTGGACTCTCGTGCTCATCGCCCAAGTCCAACACCTATGGCACAGATGTAGCACGCTGTCTGTTATCAAAATTCATGATTGAGCACTCAAACTCTCATATCCTACACCTGACATTTGCATAATTTTGTATGAACATAATTTTTCATATTCCAAGGTTAAAAAGCCACAAAATAACCTGAATAAATTAGTTCACAACAAAGTAGGTCATATAAACATTTAACGAGACCATAGCTAACCTAATTTACCACCACAAAATAAAAGTATTAAAAATCATGATTGCATTGATATCAATAATATCCATACCTAGTTATAAAATGAATTTTTTCATTGATTTAACCTAAATAACATATCTGATGTTCTACCTCAGTGATAAGTTTAAATTGTAGTTATTTTTGTATATACTATTTGTTGCACTTATCGACTATTGGTTGTTAATATCAGTTGAATAACCCAACTTTATGTATAAATACATTTATTTTGTGTATAATGTGTTTTCGTGTATAAAGTGTATCATTTGATAGTTTTGTATTTATTTTGTAGGTATTTGAGCATTGTTAGAGCAAGAGGAATAAAGCTCCAAGATGATGTTTTTATCAATAGAGGAATAAGGCCAAGATTGGAGGCCAGGTGGAGTTATGCAGGAAAGCTACAGAAGTTGCTGAACTGTCATGGATCGTTGGGAGAAATTCTTGTCGTTAGACGACAGTGGGCGAGAAGACCAATTTTGATGTTGCCTCTGCCTTGCTTCGCGTCTAGGTCGCCATGCAAAAATAAAGAGAGTCGTCGGATGAAGCAGTGTGTCTCCGGGAAATGTTAGATTTGTTTCAGTTGATGACATGGCAAAACCTGGGCCAAGTGTATAGAAGTCATCACTTAGAGACGTGTTTGTGTCGTCGGGCGACTGTCGCGGATAAGAAATTCTTTATACTTTCATTACTTGTCATTTTGGAGGGTGATGGTTTTGGGGGTGATTTTTGTTCTCTCAATCCTATCAACCTAATTTTTGTAGTGGATTAGCTTAGATAACAACACTAGGGCTTTTATTATGGTTGATTGGAGGTGGATTTCACATTGTATGGAGCTGACAAACCGAAAGATTTATGGTCTATCTCTTCTCCTCTATGTGTATTTATCTTTTGTTGGATTTTGTATGTATTTTAATTTGAACTTATGTATATTTGTCGCCCATGGCGTTATATTAAACTTGCTTTACAAATCTTTGTTGATTGTTGTCCTAGATTTTTGCTCTGTGCTAGGGAATTGAGTTGTTATAGACATATACTGCTTAGATTCTTATCTAGGATGATTATCTGTTAGTTTATGAACTCTAGAGATAGATTTAGAGCTGACATCTACTTGGGTATCAGAGCTTAATGCCTCTGTGTGGTTATGTTATGATGAGAGATCGTTAGTGCGATTACATAATTGTCTTTTGTGTTGTTGAGGAGGTAGAGAGATCATTTCCTTGGTGATACATTCAGTCTCTCAATTTGGGTTAGAAATGACTTAGGTTCTGAGTGATACGTAGTGACATTGATGAGTATTGTTAGGTTGAGTGTAATTGATCGATGGATTTAAGTCTCTGATGAGTAGATTATATGCAGGCTTGATAAGTTCTTCTTTAGTTTTTTTATTTTGTTTACATTTATTTTTTGTTGATACTTTTCTTTTCAATCCATTTATAAACTCAATAAAGAATGATTTGTCAAACGATAATTCAATAGCCAATCTCTATGGACACGATACGATATAACTTAAATATCACCCGGTAAATTAATAACTAACTTTTCGCTTGCCGCTATATACTGCAACAACACTCAGCCATCTTAAGAACAAAGCCGTCAATACATATGCATAATATAAGAAACTAATACCATCAATTTTGATGTATATAAACACACAAGATCTGAGATAGTAACGTCATCTATTTGCAATTTTTCTCATAGTTGCATAAAAAAACATCATAAAATGCTATAATATAAAAAATGATCAGGACCCTAAGAACTACTAAGAAGGAATTATAAAAATATTAAACCTAATACCTAAATAAAACTAAACAACCAAAATACCGCAAACACGGCTGTAAGACTTCTTCTAAAGGTTATAGGTTTGGCAGCAGAAAGTTAAATGAAATTGTAGTGTTGTGATGGATCCTTGCAATGTTTGGGAGGGGAACTCTATGATCAATGGTGTTTATAAATTGAACTTTGTTTATACTAATTAATTCTTAACTAGATCTAATGATGATATTATGCGGATGTTAACCATTTCAATTGAAAGATTTCATAAGATGCAAAAAGAAGCCACTCATGAATACCAAAGCTACCCTGTTCAAGTAACAATATACTAATATGCTAAAAAACGCAAGATACTTATTCAACTATCGAAATACTAATCAGTACAAAAGTGAAACTAAATAAATTCAAATATCAATGTACCTGAAATGAGATACAGAATGGTGCAGTGTTCAAATAAACAAATAAAATGAACATTCCAATTAATTAAAAATTTTAAAAATGAATTTAAAAAAAAAAATCAGATTAATGTATCTGTTTTGAGATTAATACGGTGTGGTGCAATGAATTCAGATCTACAAAGGAAAATGAATTTTAAAATTAGAAAATAATTTTTAAAAAATATATATATTTTTTAAAATCATATTGAAAATGAAGTATAGATATACATATGAAATTGAATTGTTAAGATTGAAAATCTTCTAAGACATATTTTGCACTTCGATATAAGCAAATATGATTTTGAGGTTTGAGTGATTCTAGAACAATTGATGTTGAAACGATTGAGACTCGAACGATTGAGATCGGAACGATTGAGATTCGAACGGTTGATACTAAAACATTTCATATTCAACTAATTGATGTTGAACTGTTGAAACGATTGGGATTTTTGTGATGAGATTTTAAACGATTTTAGGGTTTTCATTGAAAAGACTTTGAACGATTGGGATTTTTGTGATGAGATTTTAAACGAATTTTAGGGTTTTCATTGAAGAGACTTTGAACGATTTTAGGGATTCATTGAAGTGATTTTGAA